CACTAAAAGCTCCTGACCTCAGAGTCACAGACGCCACCACAAAATTGGATTTTAGACTGGCTATGTGTCGGCCACAATAATTCAGCTGAGAATGAGATTGGAAATATCTCTTTGTCCTCGGGAGATGTGATGGTCTTTGGTAGAATAACAGTGAGGTATGGAATATAAGAGCGCTGTCTAAATCAGGTTCCTCTGGGCTGCTCAGATTACAGCTGCTGTGCTCTTTTGTGCCATATCCACCTAGATTAAGTTGTCTTTCTCATTGTGCTTTTCTCTCTCTTTTTTTTCCTCCCTATTCTGTCTCTGTCTTCCCCTCTGACCCATTCTGTCCTCACCCCAGGGGACACCACACAAAGGATGCGATCGGCTCCGTTTCCAACCCCTGCAGAATTGGATGCATTTGCTAAGAAGGTTGCCAACAACCCCCTCACCATCAAGATCTTCCCCAACAGCGTGAAGGTCCCCCAGCGGAACCACGTGCGGCGTACAGTCAACGGGCTGGACACGTCGGGCCAGCGCTACAGCCCCTACACCTCCTCTCAGGCCAAGGCCGGCCTCCTTGCCGTCATCAAGGGGCCCACGGTCAAAGGCATCCTCAAAGATTTTGACGGCAGCAGGACTCGCTTGCACACTGAAGTCGTCATGAACCCCCACACCGGACCCTACCAAGTGGCTTCGACCAGCACTTTAAACCACCACCCGGCTCTACCGAACCTCACCCGACTCCAGCAGAGCTTACCCCTTCAACAGGACCCACCTCAGACTCTACAGATGCCCATCCCTCCGCAGCAGGGTCACAACCAGAGCCTCAGACACCCTCCCCCCATGGCCCAGCACCCTCAGGGCCCACCCAGACTCCAAACTCTGTCTCAACACCCGGCCCTCGGCCACCCACAGGGGCCCCCTGGCGTCATGCTTCAGCAGCAGCAGCACCTCCAGCAGCAGCCGGCCCCCGGCCTGCATGGAGGCAGACAGCTGCCAGATGGCAACGCACCGCCTAATGTTACCGTCTCTACCTCAACCATTCCACTCTCCATGACCGCCGGGCTGCACCAGGGCCACCAGGCCGATCTGAGCCACATCGTTCATCAGATCAACCAGTTCTGCCAAGCTCGGGCCCAGGGCGTGGGGGTCACCTCCATGTGCGAGGGTCAGATCGCCAACCCCAGCCCCATCAATCGCAACCTGCTCATTAGCGCCTGCTCCAGGGTGTCCATGCACAGCAACCCCGCCACCCCTGGTTTTCCCCAACATAACTGCATTATCTGTCCTCAAGAGAAAGCCACAGGGCCAATGGGAGCCCACCCCCAACACAGCATGGCTGTTATGAACCACTTGCCTTCCAACCACAATGATCTCCAGCAGCAGCAGCAGCAGCAGCAGCAGCAGCAGCAGCAGCAGCACCACCACCTGCAGCATCTGCATCAACAACAGAGTCAGCAGCAGCTCCAACACAACGCGCAGCTGCAGCAGAAGATGCTCTCTTGGAATCAGCACCAGTTGGCTCACATTCCCCACATGCAGAACGGTGGAAGCCACCTCTGCAAGCAGCCTTCCAGGGACCCCGCCCTCCATTTTAAGGGCATGGGCTACCCAGGAGAGGTGTGTGTGGGCCAGCCTTACACTCTGAAACCTCCCATAGAGAGGCCAACGCCCTCTCCACCCGTCAATAACAACGGAATGCCCGGTCACATGGCCCACTACACTAACGGCCACTACTTCCAGTCCCACGTTTGGAACAGCAGCATCCTACCTACACCCAACAGTGACAGCTCCGGGTCTCAGGACATAGCCATGCCATTCCACGGTGCGGGCCCTGGGGGCTGCACCACGCTAGACTGTGGGCCCCCTGGGGCTCCCCATTACATGCTAGGAACGAGCTCCTCCTCTTCCTCCGCTCAGTGTAATCTGATGCAAACAGCAGATTACTTGGGTGGGGACTTCCAGTCGCCCTACTTCCGCGATCAGAATCTAGGGCTGATGGGCAAGATGCACAGGCCTCCTCTGAGCAGGGCAGGTCCAGAGGTCGGGGACGGCAGAACCGCTCTCATCCAGCACCCAGGGTACAGATAAGCTATGGCCTTATCTACACTACAGTTATCAAACCCCCTTTGTTAAGTCTTAAGAAAGGAAACACATTAATACATTGATAACTTAAACCGCTTAAAGAGGGTAAATTAATACAGGTTTTTTCCCCGTTTTCTTTTATAGATCTTGCAAGTGATCAATTGCTACTTTTATTTTTGTTAATGAGTGCTTTTACCTGGCACTTTAGGGAACTTTTTCATGTGTATACTGTGTGTGTCATTCCCTCCTTCCTCTATTTTACTATCTGTGTGCCTGGGTCTAAACAAACCCTGCGTTATTTCTATTTCAGACCTTTCAGTTATGTTTTCTTATGCATGTAAGAAAAGAAGAAACAGATGGATCCCTGGGACGTCTAATAATGGATGTTTTTTTGAACAGGGTTATGTCAGGAATTTTTTGGCTCAGACTAGTTTCACTACCTTTTGATTTGGTGTTAACGCTCCGATCTCATCAGAATTTAAAGATTAAACGCAATCATTTGAGGGCAGAAGAGAGTAATAATCAGTGCAACACCACCACACACGAATAAAAGCTCATGCACATGTCCACATTGTTTTATTTTGCTTTTAACTGTAATTATTTATTTGTATAGTAGGACTATTGAAGATCTATTCCTCTCTGTCAGTTAAGGAAGCATGTAATCAGGTTGTTTGTACATAGTCAAGCTCCAGCTGGGAGCAGATGCGTTGAATAGGCATTGCTCTGTCCTGCTGAAAATGCTGCAATGAATTCAGGTGTTTCAAAACTAAAAACTTTTTGTCAATGCCAGGAAGGTTTGGCAACGAGATTGTGAAATGTTAAGTGCAGAAAAAAGTAATGAAAGACTAACCTTAAAATGGCCAAAGTCATGTTAACAAGGACACAATGTTATGAAGATGTGCCATTTATGTGTTTGTTTCCTTTTTGTAACCATGAAAAATGTATTACTTGAATGTTGAGATTATTAGTTTTGCAGTTATTGAAGGTTGGTAGGTTGGTTGGTTACGAGGACAAAACTCTGGAGTAGAATGAATACAAGTGTTACTAATGTTGTTTAGAAACGAGCCTCGTCAGAGTTTTGATCCTGAAAGTGGGAACTTGAGTGATTTAAGTTATGTGTGGTTGCTACTGATTCTGATGTGAAGTCTGCTCGAAATGAGATCAAATTGATCACTTGCAAGATCACTTGGAGGAAAACAAAAAGGACTTTTAAGTTTAAAGTGAAACAGCAAATGCATTGTTTATTTTATTGTACACTGGCTTACCTACTAGACTACTGTAACTCTAAAGTTTAACGATTGTGTGTGAATGTCGCCTGCTGATGAGTTAAGGGTGAGTGTGTAAGAGTGTGTGTGCATAAACACAATGACGCCCATGTTTTGTTCACCTAACTCCCTAACAGCCCTTAAAAAGCCTTAAGTGTTTGGTCCTTGGACTTCCCTTGAAAATGAGCATGGTTTTAATGAAAAACCCCAAATAATAAGGAGAAAGAAGATGCTAAGGATACACAGAAACAGCAATTTATTGGTTTCTTTCTTTCTGGTCTTTTTATTTGATTGAAGTTTTGTTGACTCGACAGAGAAATTCCTTTAGAGATTCTTTATTATGGAGAGCAAGAAAAGGAGTAATATTTTGTAATGATATATTTTAGCAATGTGTAGTTACTGAGCTGTAACCATTTTTTTCCAAGTTTCCAAGCTTCCGTTTGCAGTTGTGACTATTTATAATACTTGATTTGCTTGTTATTTAAATTTAATTTTCTTCTTTTGTTTCTTGTACTATTGCTGTGAAATGGAAGAAGGTCCACAAGCCTTTCTTTTGTGTCATTCTGTAAGACAGATGAGAGGCAAGAGAGTGAGAGTTGTGCTACTCTTTTTGTAATATTGTAATAATAAAATAAAGTTCTAATTTATGCTTTGAAATGAGTCTGAAATTTGGTTTGGATCATCTGCAACACTCACACTGAACACGGTTGTGCATTTCTTCTCATTCTCCCTTCATTCTTCGTGAGCTAATTGCAAAAAAGGAATATTTCCCCCACAAATGATCATATTTATATTTATTACCCTGTGCCTCCTTCAGTGTATGAAGAAATAACGGAGAAGTAACAGAGGAGTGTGTTGACTAATGTAAGTAAATGGGGGTCCGAAACAACTGCAAAACTAACTAAAAACATTCATTTACAAACTCTCACACAACTCATACATTATAATGCATTTTTCTTCAAGTTGTATGCTTACTTTAGCTCGAAACAAACGCAGTTTAAAACAATTTGGACAGGTTATGGTTTCTTAGTCGTCTCATATAGGTTTCTTACAGATGTGTGCCAACTGAAAAGGCCGCCTAAACCACCTTTCATTTGTAACTGAGGCCGCTAGTGCCAAAGATGACAACTGTTGCACCAATTGCTCTGCTTTCATGCCATTTTACCCGAGCCTGCCTCTGCCAAATAGAAACAGGAAGTAGAGTAGACTAGGCACGCTGTGAAATCCACAGGACTATCTGGCTGCAGTAGATTTAGCTTGTCTAGCTGTGATGAAAATGGGACTTGTATAAAGGGCACACTGCAGGGCACACACACACACACACACACACACACAGATCAGCACCTTCCGTAATCAGTATTACTCCATGAAGGATTGGGAGCTGTGTCACAGGCAGGTTCTGGCCTTTGTGCTGAGAGGATGTGCATCCTGCTCAGGTGGTGGTGGAAACAGCGCGTGCAGAAGCCTTTGGATTAAATGTACTGCAAATGTATGATTTGGCAATTAGGCATCTTTGATAATTTGTCAGTCAGGTGAACACATAGCCTATCTACAATATCTCGATCTCAGTGAAATAATGCCTCCAAGGCTACATTTAATATCAGGCTGACAGGGGAGTATCAGTCAGTCAGAGAGGCAATTCACACATTTGACAGTTACATTTCTTTGCTGTCTTTAAATGTAAATGCCTTGATGTCCGGGCAGCCAGTGTGAAGCTCTCTGGTGTGTCTTTAGACCGATGGGGGGTTCAGAAGATTCATCTCTGAGGACTGATATGCCTGCTGCCGACTGCCCTCTGTGAAAAAGCCTCTCCAGCTCCTCCCTGTGGATAAAGAAGGATATGTTCATACATGACTTTCCTGTCACAGAGAAATATTTAAAAAAAAAACATTTACTGCGTTCATGTTTCTGCACCTCTGTTGGGCGGGGTGTGCGCTGCAGGCTGCTGGGCGCGATCCCAGCACCCCGGATCCTCATTGATTTTGCCCAGGTTGCTGTTCCATTTGTTCCAGTTGACTTCCTCCACTCTGAGGCGACAAGAGGACACGTGCTCCAATTACTGTATGCTGTGCGATGCATCAATCAGCTGTCAAAGAAGGCAAATTAGTGAAGGGCCCAGTGTGCTGCGCATCAATCGATGGTGCTCACATAGCTGCATCTTTTGTTGAATCTTCCAGCCTACAGCTTTTGTATCTTCTTTATTATCATAGCTTGCTACACCTTGTGTTCTATCACTGTTTAAAGGATCCGCTTGAGGATGCAGAACAGTTGTGGTATAGAGAACCTCCTGAATGTAAACATTTGAGGTTTGACTTTGTAATATAATAGTCTCAAAACAAAGTCGAACAGCTGACCGTTATAGCAAAACATGTCTGAAAACTTCTATCTTAAACCTCTCAAAGTATCCTTCATGTCAACTTGAAACCTGCCTATACAAACCTCTAAGACTCACCTTATGCATACATCTGCAGATCTAGTGTCTAATTCAGCACAACTGGACACAGTAGGGGACCACTACTGATCAGTAGACATATAGTATAGCCGATCAAATCTGCTTGTCACTTTTAACTACTGGGAATGTATACAACATTGAGAAACCAAGCCAGCATCTCTTTCTTCAGCCCTGGCTTACTGTGCTTAGGAGCCCTGTGCACTGAGCCTGTTTCCTGTTGACAGTTTCATAGGTTCGCTTCACTATATTTTGCCCACAGACCCAGAAACCAACTAGTACCTCTTTTGTTTGAATGTTAGCATTTAGCGTGTTAGCCTGATAACAAGGACAATGATAACTTCCAGAGTTTTAGCAGTTGTATGTGTTCTCCATCTTAGCTTAGCATGTTAGCATGCAGTGAAGAGAATTACATTAGTTTAGTAGATATTAGGATATAAACCAAAGTATTTGGGCAAAATATTTTCATTTTTAGCAGTGCTGGATGAAAAGTTTATGATTCTGTTATCACAATTCATCCTGAGGGGAAGATTAATACCCAAACCAAATGCGGTAATACATCAAACGATTCAGATATTTCCATTTAGACTCAAGTGATCTCTATAAAAAATATCTGCATAATGCATCATTTCTATTAAACAATATTTTGGAAGAATTCTGGTTTGTGTTTGAAATCGGAGTTGTAATGACCAATCGTTTTCAACAGGCTTTGGTTGAATGCGGGTCAACAGTCAGAGTGGAGAGCAGAAGGGGCAGAATGCATTGGGCTGAAATGCATTCTGGGGACCCAACAGCTTTCTACTGATGTATTTATTTTTTTATTAGCTTAAAGCTATCTTGTTACCTGGCTACTTGTGAAAAATGCTAATCAGAAGAATTGGCAAAGAAGTCGGGGCCCAGATATCAGCTAGCTATACCTGTATTTTAGTTGTGCATATTACCAAATGTGATGGGGCAAGGACATTAATTATGGAAGTCTGTGTGTGTAATTTCATCCAAGATTCAGATGCAGCTTTTGATGGAGCCTCTTGATATCAGTAACAGATTGTACTGTCGCTGAACCGAGATTAACCAACCTGAAACACCGGCGACGGTCGTCTCCAAGAGTAGTCCTGAGGTTCTTCTCCACCCCACAGCGAAACCTCTTCCTCAGACAGCTAGACAGCCTTTTCTCCATGTCCAGGATGGTGATGGCCCTCTAAAAAAACAGTGAAATCACTTAATCAAACCCTAGCTGCTTGGAACAGACACTTCATCAGCCTCACTCCTGCACGCCTCACCTGTAGCTTCCAGATGCTGGTGCTCTCCTTGGTGGTCTTCTCCACGGTGCAGTTCATGAGGGCGATGAGCATGTTGAGCAACAGGATGTAGGTGAGTATGATGTACCCGATAAGGAGCACATAGAAGACCTCACTGCTCTTGTGGTCCTGGATGAATTCCATGTCCCCCATGCCGATTGTGAACTTGAAGAGCTGCAGGATGGTGAAGGTGATGCTCCTGTAGGAGGGCTTTACACAATCCTCAGGAGCAACTGTAATATACAAACGCCCCTTTCCCGGCGTCTCAACCACAGTGGTGTTTCCCGCAGGCTCTATGAGCAGACTGACCACCGCTGTGATAGGACAGGGGAAACAGATTACAAATAGCACATCCTCCCATTATCGAATAGTGACAATAGCTATGCAAGCTTAGATAGCACTTTCTATGACGCCCAATGTCTATACTGCATTATAAATATGCTTTAGATGTGTAATAATGTGCTTATAGTAATTTATATGTACAGTTATAGGCCCTTAACTCACATTTTGGAAAAAGGATAATAATACTTAATGATAGTCACATTTTTTGCAAAATTCAAGTGTATTATAATATCTTAAAATACTGATAATCGATGTTTTAATGCATTGTAGTGTAATTATACATTACTCAAGTGGTCAATGGGTTCTTTAAGTGAATTCATTACATTCCTGAGGTTTATGCAGGGATAACAAATTACAAGCTGGGTATAACTCAGTAAGTGGTCATTGTTTTCTTTAAGGAAAAATGTAATTAAATAATGTATCGTCTATTATCACCTGTTCTATTTGAATACCCTATAAAAGTGATTTAAATGCCTTATAAAAAGATAATGTTTTAATACAACTATGGGCATTATAACATACTATGACACTCAAAACAACCAAATAAGTAACTGGTATTTATTGATACTTTACCATGTAAGTTGTTATAAAATACTTTATAATTTGTAATGATTATTGTTATAAAGCATTGTGAATATGTACGAGTAGTTAATGCTACACTTAAAGTCTCAAAAGCAGATTACAAACTATTATAAATAAGTTTATAATTCGTTATAGACATTGCCGTTAAAGAAAATGTTATTATCTCAAAATATTTATTTGTTTAGGAAAGTAATTTATCTCCTTCTACTTTTCAAATCAATAAAAAATAAATGAGTAAAATTAGTTTTATTTTCAGATCGAAAAGCATTTTGGGGAATACCTGCTGAAAATCCAAAGAGGAAGACAATGTAGACAAGGAGGAAGCGCATGATATCACAGAGGATCATCTACAAAAAGAAAAATGGGCAAAGTGATTTAAGGAGGGTTCACTGTGATGGTCACCGTGGTACTGAGCGTCCTGTGTGAACTACCTTCTGTATCATGATGCTGTAGATGCCCATGTGTCTGTCGCCCCTGGAGAAATAGAGGATGTTGACCCAGCTGAGAGCGAGACACACCACCATTACGCTGAGGTACTGCTCCATCCCCGACCAATACAGCCCGGCTGTGAACAGGAACAGGAAGCCCTGAAAAAAACTGTCAAGAGAAACCACTGTGATCCTGCAAAGCATTGTGGTTTTCAAATGTAACAATTAAAATACATTAACAGTCCAGTGCTGTCCAATACAACCCCGTTTTGTCATTAAGTTAAGAACATTTATAATCAAGGACATTCCAAGTTTGGGGTGGTTTACAATGTTTGAAAAACCTCTTTTATTGACAGTTTTTGTTTTGTTTATTGTGTTGTCTCCTTACTCATCTAGACTGTCCGTCAGTGGCCCCTCGTGAACAACAAGTGCTTCATTAGCATAAGACATTTTATGCAATTGTCAAAGCCAAAAATATACTTTTCAGACGTACGCAAAAACAGACCTTAATAGAAAGGTTTTGTGTCATGTTATCAGCAATGGGGGTTCATAATTGTGCACAGGACGGGACTAAAGCAATGGATGTACATTATAAAGGCAAGTATGTTAAATCTGGAGGGAGGTGTTCAAATATCAACAATCTTTCTCCAGAATCACTGACTCACTAAGTTAGAAATAGAGATAATCTGCGTGTATTCAAGGTTTTTTTAGTTTGATTTGAGTCAGTACTGTGGCAAAACATCCAACGTTTTAAGCATTACTTACAAAAGAATCTCATAATATCCGTCAATCAGCAACGTCTGCAGCTTCGGCCGTTTCCTATACATGTCCATGACCTAGGGATTTAGGTATGATTTTTTATGAAAAGATTGAAGACTGTGATGTGATTTTAATTAAAAGCACATAGTCACCTACTTACCCCTATGACAAAGAAATAGCAGTTTGCCAGCGCTGTCACTAGCTGGCCTGAAACGTACAGGTAACCCAGAGTGGTGTGTTCGAGGGTAAACGGCGGCTGTGGGGCAGAGCAGAAACCTCAGTTCAGATCGGCTACAAAGACCAGTCAAACCATGTGTAGCAGTCAGCTTACCAGCCCAAATTTCTTGTTGTAGGCCACAAGGGTGAAATTGATCAGGTACAGGATGTAGACCAGGAGGTTGAGGAAAAACATTCGACCAGCAAACTTCTTCCACTTCTCGTCCAGCAGATGGCTCAGAGGCTCCATCTGGAGCATCTCGTGGCGGTTCTGAAAGGAGTCACATGTTTGAGTACTGAACAACAACTGACAGACTGGGCTTATAATGCTGGGACTCACAGGAATGTCACTGCCGTACACAAGAATATCCAAGACTGAGTTCTCCTGGTACGAGTCCACCGAGGCCAGGTCGTACAAGGAGCTCTGGACGGGCCCGTAAACCCACTCTGTGAACTTACGGGACAGATGTTTGGCTTTGTTCTCTTGGAATTCACGTTTTAGGATGTGTGAAAAAATCTGCAGACAAATTAGAGTAAAGTCAGAGCCAATTTATTTCTGAGAATGTTCAATCACAATTATCTAGGTCGTACAATATGGAGACTGAAATTGTGACTCTTAATAAAACTCTAACCTAGCCTGCAAGAAAGAAGACTTCAATGTGCATCATCAATACATCCTTAAACAACTGAAATGTGTTAGCATTTTTGCACTTTGAGTTCCCTTGATTTGAAGTCAAGGTCGTTTTATTATTTGGTAAAATTCCTTAGATAAAGTGTGTAGTTAACAGGTTCTTCGACATTAAACATGTAAGTAAATATGGTGCACATGATGGTGGTGATATTAAATTCATTTGTTTATCCCCCAACATTAGCTTTTTATTTCTAGTGCTTCATAAATCATAAAAGAGTTTGTGAAGAAAACTTGTGAGTATTCTAAACCTCAATTTGCCACAGAGCTTATTATCTGATATAATCCAAAATTAAATGAAAACATTGGTAATCATTGGCTTTTGGTCTAGGGAACCCAGTCATCCCAGGGCCCGCCAAACTTTACTCCTTGGGTTGTTGGGGGAAGCTAGGAGTCTTGTCCCTGGGCCTCAGCTAGCTATGCTGCTATGTCTACAGTGACACTGAGGAAATGTTTACCCCAATCTTGCCAGTCTTGGCAGCCATTTTGAGAGGCGTCAGCCCATTGTTGTTCTCGATGTCCTCCAGCTTCGACTTGGGGTGAAGTTCGGCATTGGTCTTGAGGATGCGGTCATACATTTTGGTAACAAACTCTGTGTTATCGGCAGAGTTATCAGCCACCACCACCAGGGCGTGCAGCACAGTGTTTCCATGAGAGTCAGTTAGCTCAGCACTTGCGCGTTGGTACTCGCTCTTCATGAGGAAGTCCACTACGTCGGGCTGGTTGGTGCAGGCTGCCAGAGACAGAGGCAGCTCACCTGAGGACAACACACAAAGACACTCTGTTAAGTTACAGCTTTTTTCCCCTGCATGCTATAATTGATTAAATCTCAATGTATTCTTGTGTCTACATCAAATCAATCCAAGAACAGCCATGCAGAGCAGGGCTTTGAGACTAATGCCAGACAGTTCGAGTGAAACATATTTGCCAACGGATTAGGTTGCAACAAGGTTGCGAATTGTAAAAAAAACATCTTGTTACAAAGCCACTTTTGAAAGTTGTCTTTTTGGATTAAATGGTAAATTATATAGTACTTTATCAGGGCTGTACGACCCCTCAAAGCGCTTTACATAGCGCACTAGGAGTCATTAATCCATTCTCATTCATACAGAGCACTACCATTTGCTCTCGGGAAGCTAACATTATACACACCCTTGGAGCAACTCAGGATTAAGTATCTTGTCCAAGTACATCGACATGTTGACTGCACGGGCTGGGATCAAACCCATAACCTTCTGGTTGAAAGACGACCGCACTCCCTCGCAGCCACAGTCCCCCATTAATAAGTGTGTTTGTTAGCTACCCATGTGATGTAAGTTACAGTTACCTAACTATATTGAATTTACTGATGTAAATTAACTCCCTTAACTGTAGCTTAAATATGTAAGAAAAAAGTAGTTTGACCCATCCATCCACCCTGGCCTCCTTCATATTGGACTTTTTTTTTTACTTTTCTTAATAATGTTTGCCTCAAACTCACAAAGAACTTAAAATAACTTAACAGTTACTTAAAGGTCTCCTATTATGCTATTTTTAGGCATATATTATGGGTCTCAGATATATAAATATATATATATATGTATATATACATATATATATATCATGTCTATGATGCGTTTTGCTCGAAATACCAAACAGATCATGCATTTTAGACATTCCTCATATCCCTCTATGTCAGGCCTGTTAAAGAAACGCAGATTGTGGGTCAATATGTGTGGGTGAATCAAATCAAATACAGTTTTATTTATATTGCACACTTAAAAGCGATTTTTGGTTGAGCCAAAGTGCTGTAAATGTAATAAAAACACATTACTACAATCACAATAAAAGACAATAATTGACAACAGAAATATAAAAAGCAAAAACACAGGGAGTCAGGTGTCATACTCCGCTCTGACTAGAAGGCCAAAGAGAAGAAGTGAGTTTTAAGTGTCGATTTAAAAACCCCTAGGGCCTGGGCCGACCCCACATGGAGGGGCAGAGTGTTCCAGAGCCTAGGGCCAGCTCGGCCCTAGGCTCGGTGCCCTCGGGTTTTGAGCCTGGTCTTGGGCACTACCAGCAGCAGCTGGTCAGCCGACCTTAAGGCTCTGGCTGGGGTGTAGCGATGGAGGAATTAGGCTATATAGGCTGGAGCCAGCCCATTTAGGGCTTTAAAAACAAATAAAAGGAGTTTAAAATCAACTCGGAAACCCAATTGGAAGCCAGAATGAAATGAGGCCAGAATTGGGGTGATGTGGTCACGCTATTTGTGGCCAGTCAGAAGACGTGCAGCTGCTTTCTGCACTAGCTGCAGGCGTCTAATTGAGGCCTGGTCCATACCCACATACAGAGCGTTGCAATAGCCCAGTCTTGAGGTTACAAAGGCATTAATAATCCTTTCTAGATCTTTAAAAGATAAATACGACTTGGTTTTGACTGCGGTGCTGACCTGCTTGTCGAATTTAAAAGTGCTACTGAAGGTCACTCCAAGGTTCATGACAGAGGGGAGGATGTTTTCATTGAGAGATC